TGCTGGGCGCCACTATTTCTTAGTTGCGGGGTGTAAGACAGAGTGTCATAGAGCTCGTAAGCAAAAGATATATCTTTCGGGATCCGGGCAAGGCGCCTCTGTCATGCACCGACAGAGGAAATTGGGGAAGAATACTAAGTGCCCCGTATCGATTCCAGCTGAAGCACCTCGGAGCTGAAAACAGTAGACTCGCAATGGGCCTAACAAACCCGAAACCCGGAGAACACTGAATCCGTAACCTCGCAAGACCTGCAGCACTATTCGGCACCCTTTCGAACTGGATCTGGCCAAAAATGTAGGCAGCTGCTAAGTCCATTTCGCGATAAACACTATAAGACCCCTTCAACACCTCAAACCGCAACAGAACACTAAACCCCTCCTGAACCCCAACCTGCAATCCAAAGCTCCAAACACCAACCCCTGGTCCTAAACTCCGAACGCGGAACCCTGCACATGTCTCATGAACCATCTAGAAGCTTGCCTTGGCAACTTCCTGCGATTTAAAGTCTGAATTCTGGGGTTTCCAGGAACTTCTAGTTTTTGAGTTTAAAAGTTCAGGGAATTGCAGCTTCTTGGGCATGGGGTTAAAGGGAATGTCAAGTTTTGACTGTAGGGCTTGAAGCAGTTACGGTTTTGCAGTGTAGGGTCTAAGGGAAGTGTTGAGTGTGGGAGATAGCCGGACTCAAATCCCGCTGGTGCAGACAAGACCCCCTGAATAAGAATTACAAGTGGGTCCAAAATTAGAATATGGTCAATCACACTGACAGCGGAATGGCCGTCATAATGAAGCTCATCACCGATATGACACCGTAACAACATTTTGATTCTCACAAAAACTGCAAAACCCTCCCTCCTTCGCCCAAACGGCCAAGCCCTTTACACTGGAACCTCCTTGTCCAGACCTAGGAAGATCCCAAAATCCGCACCCGAAAGGTGCCATGACCAAGGCTCCGAAGAAGGAGCCCTACATACCATCACCCCAATCACCAGCACCCAACATAAACCGGAATGTCCGGGCCGGTTGGGGAAGTACGTGTTCTACTACAACGATGTCGTGACTGCGGGGGGGATACTACTACACATGACTATTACCCCCAAACCCCTTTGAAGCCCTATCAGAACTGTAGGGAGATACTGTAGCTCACAATTTCGAGCCCTGGATTCTGCCACGGAAGGAACGGCCCTCACTTTCCTGAAAGCCCACGAGGAAGAGGGTCCGTGTCCCAAAGCTTCCGCGGACCCCAACGAACCTACCTTCGTTGAATTACGTTGTTATTCCAAAAATCCTTTCTTGAAACCTCAAGGACTACCTGGACCCAGAATAACCTACCTTTGTAAGGACTGATGTATAGGAGGAAATCATGGAAGGGAACCACAGCAACGAAGATTTGATGGAGTCCAGGTCCCTAATGAGGTGGGGCTGAGGTATGGACGGCTTAGGGCCTAGGGCTTAGGGGTGTGGGGTTTAGGGGTTGAAGGCTTTGGGTTTTGGGATGTCGTACTTTACGTGTCTACATGAACCGTAGCAATCTCCTCTGTAAGTCTGAAAGTTGTAGGGACTCTTTAACGGTTTTCGGAGGATTTATTGGTTTGTTAAAGAGTTCAGGAATGATTAGTAATCATGTCTGCACATAATTATACGACGACATTCCAAGCCCTCAACCTGAAACGCAAGCTCCAAACGAACTCTCTAGATACCTGGGTCCTGAAGCCAAGGCCCCCAAGCTCTCAACCCCATGGGCCATGCTTCTGAAAAAAATGTATACGGACTGCGAGAATGCAGCATTGCGCTGTTACGGCAAACCCCCTGTGCTGAACCCTGAAAGTCTACCCGGACACCAGATAACCTACCGTTTTAAGGGGCGTACGTTTGGAAATCCTAAACAGGGAACCCCGATTTCAGGAGGGTCTTAGAAAATCCAGGTCCAGGTATCCCTGACGTCGCCTTGGAGTCTGCGGGCGCTGTCTGCTTCCGACTCCGCGTGGCGATGATGCGCACGGGCCTCGTCCTGTGCACCGGGAAGACCTGGCCAGGAGCGGAGAGCGGAGGTGTAGTTGGGGAGGGCGGGGGGGGGGGGGGNNCTTTAGGGCGTTTTCGGGCTTTTGAAGCTCTTTGTGGATTAGGCTTTCTTCGAACGGCTTTGTGTATTTGGGAGGGGGGGTGGGGGGCGTCTTACAGAATTTTGTTTTGGGGTATTGGGAGGATTTCGGGCCAGGGCATCTGAAGGAGGTTCTTCCAGCATTCTACAGAGGTTTCAGGAGCCTCAAGGTACGGGGTCTTAATGATTAGAACAAAGTTCGATGTAATGAGTATATTTTTTCATAGCAAGTTATTCAAATCTCTGTACTGTACTCGACCCGGACTCGCCGAAGAATCCTTACAACTACAAACCCTACCCTCGAAAGCAGCTGAACCCAGGGACTGCATTTTGAGTTCCCTGTCAGCCGCAAGCGCCAAGCCCCACTCGCACCACCACAGAAACCATGCTGCAAAGTAGGACCCAGATTCGAAGCTCCAGACTTCCACAATATTGGACCTCTGTCCCCTTTCGTCTAGCTTTCGGGTTTCAACAAGCAGGTTTTCAGGCAAGTCATCTTTCCTGAACTGACGCCACGTCCGTGCGTCAGAGAAAAACAACTCCCGAACGCTACCACCTCTAAACCCCGAAACCTAAGGCCTCTTGGAAAACGCTGACCTTCAAAAAGCTTACCCAGCACACCGCCAGAAACGCACAACGGCAAAGAAGTCGATCAAAGGCTTGGTAACGCTCTTTAATTGCAACCCAAATACCGATACATGAGGACACCGAAAAACCCTTTTAACATGAGGGGGATCAATTATTAGAATCAGGCTCCGGTGTGTATTATAGTAAGAAAGGGACCATACGGGGACATTACTACTCAACCACCTTTTTGCGCCCTTAAAGATACACCTTGTACTCATCGGCCAGCTGGGCTTTAACCACGTGTGGCAGAAGTGGCGGCTCGGTATCCTTGTAGCAGTGATGCTGAAGGTCCAGCATTTTGAGTTCAATAAAGAGACCAAAATGGTTGGTTTTGGGAGTTCTTTTGTAGTACAACTGCAGAAGCTTCAACAAAACATTCCAGACTAGCCTTTTGAGAGTTGATTTGTGCATTGAAGGCACAAGGCTCAAAGGCTTCATGTTTGGTGTAGGGACGATCTTCTCGGACTCAGACAATCCTCACCATCTTTTCGGACTAACCTCAGGCTTGGGGCTTGCTTGGAGGTTGGGTTCAATTTTTGTGGTCTTGGAGGCATCTTGGGCCCTGCAGTAGCGCAAACCAGCGAATCTGCGATTTTCCGGCCCCGCACCCTGAAGGTGTGGGAAACAAAAAGCAGAAACAAGACCGGTAAGGCTGTTTGCAAGCCTCCAATGGCCTTCCGAAGCCAAAGAGAACCCCTATGGACCTAGGGAGCCCTTTGTAGAATCCGAACAGAAATCCGGTGGACCCCCTAAGGAACTTTGACCGCTACAGCCAAACCCCCGGCCCATGCTGCGACCGCGGCACGGGTGACCGGACCGCTTGCCAAGGATCGCCATCATGCGGCATCATGCTGGCTTAGTGCATAAAGAGCTTCTTAGAAGGCTTATAATGATATTATAATGGCTTATATAATGGTGCTTACGAGGGTTCTAGACGGGTCGCATCGGTATAATGCGAGGGCTTTCAGAACTTAGGGTGGATAGTCACGGGGATGCTTTTTAGCTTCAGAGCTTCAAGCATAGGGGGGTTTGCAATCGCAGGATTCAGACTCTGCTTTCAAGGCTCGAAGGTTCAGGGTTGAGGCTCGCGGTTTAAGAGTGAGAAGGTTGGCAAGCAAGGTATAACTGGCTTTTAGCTGCGCTTTGCTTCCTGCAAGCTTTGCCCGAGGCTCTTGCATCGCCTCTCAAGGTCCCTCTGGCTCGCTCTGGTTGGTGTTTTGGGGGGCTTTGGTGGTCCACTGCTTCTGGGATAGAGCCTGAGGCGGCCAAAGCGATTCACGCAGCCGCGAGCTTCGCAACAGGGCTCCGGCCCCGAGGGTCAACATCTCACCCAGGTCGGAGCTGGTGCAGGAGCTTCGGCGGAGAAAGGCCTAGATCCTAAATTTACGTGGGGGCGGCTTGCACACCGCGACCCCAGACCACCCCCAAAGCCTGTACCAAGTCAGCCTTCCCCTGAAGTTTTCCCGATCTGAGTCCTTGAAGGAAACCCAATACCAGCAGTGAGCTCCCGGAACCCCAGCTATCCCGGAGCCTCAAAGCCTAAACTCCTTCTCCACCCTAAAGCCCAAAAGTCGCATGGGTGATCCCCCTCTCCACCTTTGAGCTTCAAGCCTGGACGCTACAATCTCACTTAGGAGCGAAAGTCTCACGACAAAGGTCGAGGGTAGTCTTTTGCGGTGAGCTGCTGGCTGTGCTGGCATCTTGGCATACAATGCCATCAAAGAAGATCGTCTGTGCCCCGGTCTGTGCCACGGCTCTACTTGTGAGAGAGCGTGTTAACGAGACGGTGCGCTCCTCATGTTCACGACCGGAACGAACCTCTCATGTCAAGATGACCGAATAGCTGACAACAACTCGGAGAAAACATCCTGGTTACAGACACTTGTCTTCTGCCTCTGTTCATGCACATCCCTGCTCATCTTGGGAGGAGAGTCTATTCCTTCTGCAACTAATTAGATGCACACCGAGCAGCCACGAAAAGGGATGATACGGCTGCTGCAGACAAGAGACACCTTACCTTTGCAAAAAGCCACGAGCAAACACACTGCTGCCGCTGTCGCGTGCATACTGCTGGACATTCCAGTCCAGATGGTTTCATAAGGATCTTCGGCCTTCACTCTCCGTTCTCATCGAAAGGGTGGCAACAAATCTACAAGTCGTACTCTGACAGCAATGCACGAGTTGAGCAACGACTGTGACTGAGGAAGGACTATAGAAAGCCGGAGGATGCGATGTTGCAACTTTCCTGGGAATGAAGGCCATGCCGTCTAGACTCTAGACGCCCGCAGTGCCCAACTGTTCTGGACTTTCCTGCTGCTGTCCCTGCACAGAGACCGGAATCCAGGACGATGCTGCGGATTCCGAGGGTGCGGCCGCAGGGCCCACGCGATCGGATTTATACCCGAGCCGAGCGATTCCCTTCTTCTGCTTCTTCTTCATGGTGATCTCCAGGATGCCGTCCTGCCTCAGCTCCATGACGGGATCCTCGAACTTCCCAGCTGTCAGATCCACCAGAAAGGCTCGCTCCCACCTCCCCTGCTGCTGCCGGAAGGGCCACCCGTCCACCTTACGAACCGCTTGCTCGTCGATTAGGGCGCGCTTGGTGATAGCGAGCTGGAACCCTGCAGAAAGGCTCTCGTCGTCCAGCTCGATGTCTTCCATCGCAACACCGGGGCACTCGATCAGGATCTTGCGCTGGACCCCAGCATCGGTCGTCCTTGCTCTGCAGGCACATGGAGGGGAAAGGCTGAGAGTCTACGGGTTGACTACATGACGTCATGACCTCACGATCATTCTTCCTCCAAGCTTTGCCAAGGGTCTCTTCATACACATTGACATTGGGCTCAAACGTTGCATCGTAGCCTCGGCAGGCAGCAGCAGAATCGCTCCTAAATGGCGGCTGAATGAAAGAGCTTCAGATCCTGCTGCAGATAGTGGGTGCAAGCCCTCCCTAACGAAGCTGCGCGGCCCGGCCTATCAGTTCGCCCAGCGGTGAGATCACCCCACGAGTCCTCATCTTCGGCTCGGCTCCTTTGTCAAGCTGCAAAGAAAAGACCCCGCCGCACACGTAGCCTTTGGGCATCTGCTCCTCTGCTGACGAAGTTAACTCAGAACCGGGACGAAAGTCGATGCCAAAAGCACGTTCTGATGCGGCTGCTTGTTCGGGAATCTCGGTGCTGACGAACATCTTCAGAAGCTCGGAGAGGTGTTCGCGCAGCTGGTCTTGAAGAACCATCTCCGTCTCCGATTCCCTGTGCTCTAGGCTCTGCAAGAGGTACTGCCGGTTCTTGTCGTTGAAAGCGTCCCCAGCCGGACTAGACTCGTAGCAGAGCCCGATGTGGTGAACGGGTGGACCTTTGTCTTTCTTTGCTGTGAAGATCAACTGCCCCATGGTGGACAGGTCTCCGCTGTAGCATGTGGTGACTTGCTTCTCAAAGAGCTGGTGAGCCACTTCGGCGTCTTTGACGTTGATCATGTTGTGCACAACAATGAGCTCTTTGTGCACCTGTCTTGCCACGTACTTCCTGCGCAGCATCTCTACGTACTGCTGCTCCAAAGACGTGAAGCTGTTGACAACGAACACCATGTGCGATGCCATGCGAGAGATCATGTCGAAAAGGAAAGACTCAGTGGACTTCGCATCGAAGAGAGCATCATCAACTGACTGCTCGCTCCCCTCGCCGGTCTGGGAACAATAGGCGACTGGACTTTGCACTCCGGCCGAGTCGATCAGCAACATTCGTCGCTCCGGGATCCAGAGGAAGCTCAAACCATCTGTTTCGTGGAGCGTGCCAGAAGGCAAGTTAATCCCAAAGAGCTTGTTGATGAGCCAGGTTTTACCTTTCTCGAACAAGCCGACGATTGCAATCACTCTGACGCTTTGCTTCTTTCCGATGTCCAACTCCGACGTCGCCTTCTGTAGCAAACTGATGTGCCTCCATTCGCCGGCTTAGAGATCGGGGTTGCGGGATCATCAACCGCAAAATCCTTAACCTAGGTGTTCATGTTGTGGATTTCGGGTGCTGAAACTTGAAAGGTCAACGGTCGGGTCACCCTAGGCTGCGATCCCAACGCCTGAATCTGGCAGATAAAGGACCCCATCCCTACATGTCCTTCACACCCAAGTACTCAACCTGAAGCTTACTTCCCGAACCTGGTCTCCAAGAACTTGGCCAGAGAGTTGAAAGGTAGAACCACATCGTAGGAAGTGCTCTGCATCCTGGGTTCTACGCTGTGCAGGCGAGACCCTCGATACTTCGGTTTTTCGAGCTTCGCGCTTGGGTCGGGGGACTGGGGCTTAGATTCGAGTAAACCTCCGTTATGTCAGACGGAAGCAAGCCAGTTCCTTTCTAAAATCTTCTTCCTAATCCCACGGACTCCCAGTTCCTGCTGGGGCAACACAACATAACATAACGTAGAGCTGAGCTGCGTGGAGAGGTTCATCTGCTGGTGCCACCGAGAGAGTTGCTCTGGGCCTATTGGGCCCACACCATGCATCGTGCGAAGACAAAGGTTCTCCTTCCACGGTTGAAGGCTGAGGGTTTGGATTCCGAACCGCTTGCGCTAGGATGTAACTTTCGGCATCTTAGGCCCGCCATAACTAGTTCCACCGGCCCTCTCAGCAGATTTCAGATTTCAAGGTCTCCTCTCTGCAGGTCTCAAGCTCGGCCTGAAGCTGGCGCAGCTCTGCATCTCTCTGCACCGCCTCTTTCCGGCAGCTTTGAAGCTCGGGCTCGAGCTCATTCAACTTCTTGGTCTGCCTCTCCTTGGCGTTCTTGATACGTTATACTATCATATACTTACTTACAAACATATTTACTTACTTATTCTCTCTCACCCACACACATACTCTCTCTCTCTCTCTCTCTCTCTCTCTCCCACCCCAACACAAAACAAAGACCAAAGAAAACGGGAGAATGGGATGCCGAAACCCCGGCAGATCTCCAGGAACTGCAAAGCCTGCTTTACCAGCGGGTCGGCCACCTGCTCAACTCCAAAATGCAAGGTGATCTCAATGAGCCCCGGGGCCAAATGGAAGAAGCCGCCGCCGGACCACTGAAACTGACCAATGCTTTCAGACATCGAAGGCTTGCCGCCATCCCCTCGAATGCGTGCCAGCTCGAAGAAGCGCCCAATACAGCGAAGCGTTAGCTGTTGATCGGAAAAGATGCGGATGTCGTGAGGATTTCCGTGGCTCTTGGGACGAAAGAGGTCGACCTGGCACGGGCAGGGATTCTCTCCAACAACCTTTTGGCCAACAAAGAAACCACACTCAACAACTTAAAAGGCTTCGGGACTTCGGCGTTCAGGGTGCCTTGGGAACCCCTCATCCGCCTGCACCAACTTGTCCAAAAACTCGAAGGGGCCACTTGTGATGCAGTTTGGATGCTGCACTTGGCTCACCTCCTCGGGAGGCAAGCGCCACACCACCTGCTAGACTGAGACCCGAAAGCGTGCTCCTAGCAACAGCACTCTCAAACACCCGCCGGCAACCTCGAAGGTCGTGCTTCGAAAGTTTGGGGCTTACGACTTTGGGTTGCGGCCGTTGGGGTGCCGTAGTTTGGAGTTTGCCTCATTGATACAACAGGTGACAGTTCAGAACAAAAAAGAACTTGGTACCCTGGCCAGCCGGAAGTAATTGGTCTTGGTGTTGACTTCACATGTTCTATGCCTCGGACTGACACAACAATTACCGTAACTCTAGAGCCTGAACGCTAAAGTCCTGCAACCCGCAAACACATGGAGCCGAACCCGAAAATATGGAGATAAAGCTGCCTTCAACTCTTCCGTCTCGACGTCAACCATCCCAGCTCGCGTCTGAGCTACAGGGTGAGCATTACTCGGCACCGACATGCCCATGTTCACCCGAATGAGAGGCTCCAAAAAGGGTGCGGCGAACGGCTCGCTTGAACAAGGATGTGCTGCAGTGGCCTACGGTTTTTTGTCGCACTGGGGCCCGGAGTCAGATCTCAGCATGAACACGACAAAAATATCGAGGGCATAGCACGCTACGCTTCTGTAAGGGTTGGAGCCGGTTCAATGCGATTAAAGCATTGCCTTGCGACTGAGCATTGAGTTCTGACTGAAGACCTTAGGAGCCGGGGCGATGTAGAACCCGGCACGTGATGATTTCCTGCCAGAAAATGTCTCCGGCACAACTGTGCGAAACATACTGGCAGTACTTCTTTCCCGCTCCATCTACTTAGACTTCTGGAATGACTAGCACTGCATTCCGCAGCATATTTCTTTCTTGTCGCAGCCCACAGGCAGCCGTGCCCACGCGGCAGGGTGTGCCATCAGCCCACCGGATATCCCAGGCGCTGCTGGCAGGCCTTGTAGCGGGCGAGCAGCCCTGCAGGCATGGCGAGCGTAGCATTTCTGGCGTTCGCCATGCAGTCTGGGCTGTTGGTGTGCTCGTGATCGTCAACCTCCGGAAATCCTTAGCACGATCGAAAAGTGGACGCAAAGCTCATAAACAAGACATGGAAACCTCACACTTGCGGCCCAACTACCCAACTACCCAAACACAAATTTAGGGCCCAAAATACCTTCGAATCTGATCTGGAACCCAAAACCCCAGGTCCAATGCCCCAAATCCGAAAAAAAAAAAAAAAACTGAAGCCCAGACCTGAAGGCCCCCAAACACTGGAACACTAAGCCCCAACGATCCCCAAAGGTCCCTAAATCCAAAAGCTCTAAAGGCTTTAGAACCCTAAACCCCAATGCTTCAGCCTGAGCCCCAATGGCCCAACCTGAAGCCGAGGAAAGTGACCTATAAGACGACCTCAGAATCCTTTCCCCCGAATATTCAACGCCTTCCCCCCATAGATGAAAATGTACTAAAAGCGGGAAGGGATTAAATCAGGAACCCTAAACATGTAGATTTTCTAGAGTCCGGAAATAACCCTAAACCCTCCTACACTCTTTCTTACCCCCACAAACAAGCTGCACTTTGGCCGAAGGGGCGGTGGAGGTCCTGGTGCCTGCCAGCCCGGCGAACGAGCTGCCACTCCTCCTCGGTCAGATGGAGGCCTGCGGAAATTGACAGGGCTGTTTTAGGGTTTTAGGGGTTTAGGGGTTTAGGGGATGAGAGGTGTAGGGGTTTAGGGGTTTAGAGGTTTGGGGTTTAGGGTTTAGGGGCTTTGGGGTTTAGGGGTTTAGGGGTTTAGGGGTTTCGGGCGAAAAAATGATTCAGGGCTTAGGGCCGGTTTCTTGCTTGCGGCCGCAAGGTCGAAGCAGGCTGCTGCAAGGATCACCCGAAGGTAGAAACCTCTTGACAGTTCGGGTTGGGGCTGACGGCTTCTACTTCTGATTCGCCAAATGCAGATCCTGGATGCAAAGTGAGCTTCCAAAAGGCACCCCCCCCAAGCCTCCCCGAAATGAACGAAGCTTCGACAGCACCCTCGTACCCTCCCCGCGAAAAGCAGCCAAGAACCCTGACCTCTAAAACTCTCACACTCCGACCCTGAACCCTTCAAACACGCACCGCAAAACCCGAAGCCACGGTCCCGAGCCCCAGGCGTCCCCTCTGAGGTAGGGGTTGAGCGAAGCCCCCCCAAACCCCCGAACCCCAGGCTGCAAACCCCAGCAACCCGAAGCTCGAACCTCTGCTTCGGGTTTCGGGTTTCGGGTTTTAGGGTTTAGGGTTTAGGGCTTAGGGCTTTTTTTTGGAACTCCTTTTTCCACCTGCGACATCCTGTGCCACTAGCGAAAGGTCTCAGACCAGGAGACAGCCCCATGATCGGGGTTCAGGGCTTCGGGTTTAGGCGGCCTTCGAACCAGAAGGTCAGCAGCTTCTCCAGCTCAACATCAAAGCCATCGGAGGAGCCTGACTAGTCAGTGGTTGCTGTCAGGGTAGAGTACCCTCTGAGCACAGAAGGGGCTTCTCCGAAATAGTGTTCAATTGAGTCCTAAAACCGTATACCTTGTTTATAGATTACCAAGTATCTTCAACCCGTGACCCTAAACCCCAAAAGCCTCCGGGACCTTAAAAACTCTCTTCTGGAGGGTCCTACAGGAAGGGTTTCGCTTCGTGGCTCTCTTTTGCTCTCGGCTCCGGGAGAAGTTTGGATTGGGGGCGTTTGCAGGTTTTCGGCCTCGAGGCTGAAAATGGGACGAGGCTAGAACCGAGCCTACCATGCGCTCGTAGTGAACACGACGGGTGTCGTTGGCCGGAGACTCAAACACCGCCGTCATCTCCTCCGGGAGAGCCGGACTTCTCTAGGGCTTCCATCGAAGTTTCAAAAGGCTGTTGTGGTGCTCTTATATATGAGGGTTACACTGTTGCAGTGCTTTCCTCAGGTTCTGAAGGCATGGGTCTGAAAGGTCCTCATAGAGTTTGAGAGGGTTTCTCCAAACTTGGTGCGCCTCCTGAGGGCTCGCTGTGATGTGTTCAGGATCCTACTATGTAGAGTCCGAAGGAGTTCTTCAGCGAAGGACGCTGTAAATCTATATCAGGAGCGTGCTTGTAATGGTTCGGGGCTTCGAGTTGACAGTCGCGGCTTCTCACGGGGATTCTTTCACAAGGGATCCAACCGCTTCGGATACATAACGGAGCCCTCTTCTTCAACAAACCTCCGACTTCCCGAGCCGGAATACTGCAAGCACCTTTACGCCAAAGCAACAACAAAAACAACGTCTCCTCCACCACTTCCAGCATCCGCCGGGCAAGGAAAGCCACGCCGCCCTCGAGAGGCGTTGGAGCTTCATTTGGGCACAGCTAAAGCCTCCGGAGCCCCTCCGAAAAAAGAACCAGAGTTGCAACAGTGAAACCCACAAGATGGAGAAGAGCACTTTCGGGGTCCTAATGAAGGAACCTGCGATCTCATGCGTCACCAACCCTGGAAGCTAAACCCTGGACCCTAAACCCGAAAACTTGCCGGACGGAACAAATCGGAACCTGATGTTCGGTCTGGGGTTTTCGATGGCCTGGCTTGGTCAGGTACCGCCCTTCAATCAAGCTGGTCCCTAGCCTGTGCCTGCTTGTAGCTTCATGAAATGAGAGGATCCGAGGTGGGGCAGGCCGGCTGTCCTTGACGTCCATAAGCAGAAGCAGCGGAGCGAGGGTCATCAGGTTCCTCAGATAGGCCGCTTTGTTTTTTTACAGGGCTTTCCGCTCCCCTGGTATCAAGCTCGGGTCCTAACCCTAAACCCTAAACCCTGAACCCTTAACCCTAAACCCCTAAACCCTAATCCGTGATCTCACGGCCGGCTTTCTGCTTGTCTTGAGCTCCGTCGGTCAGGAAAAGAGCGAGGACCAGGGGTCGACGAGAGGATCCCAAATTTTCGGTGCTTTTGCCTTATAAAGCCTTGGTGCTGAAGGCCTTCGGCTTTCCTAAGCCAGAAACCCCCCTCCCCGCCCCCCCCCTCAAAAAAAAAAAAAGGCTCCGGGAGATCCCAAACCCCCAAAGATAGAACGTGGAAGCTTAAGGCTTTGGGGCTTAAGCTTTAGGGTTTAGGGTATACAGCTTACGCCTTTCGGGTTTTAGTGTTTAGAGCTTAGGTTGTAGGGTTTTAAGGTTTAGGGTTTGGGGCTCTGCGTGATGGTCGGCTCCGGGCCAAGGAGAGCCTCCAAGCCATCATCCCCGACCCCCTCAGAGCCCTAAACCCTTCGTCGAACTTCGAGTCTCCTGGTTCAGGCTTCAGGGTGAATTTAGGGTTTAGGGTTTAGGGGGGTGAGGGTCAAAGCTACGAGAACCTGAGCTACAAGCCTGTCTAAACCATCTTCTCCGGCGACTGTTCCTATAAGCCCCATCATACACCTTTAATCCTGGCCCCTTGCCCGAAGAAAGGCTACTCTCCAGAAACCGGAGCCAGGGCAAGCGACAAGGGCTCCTGCATCCGAATGTGATAACAATATGCCTGGGCTTGAGAGGCCTATGATGGGGGATTGTGGCAAAACGCGAGACTTCGGCGGTGCGTCCGATGTTGTCTGGCAGAGTCCACCCAGAAGCATGAAAAGAACAAACAGTGATAGACGCTGTTACACTCTTATGCCATCTGCAGCAGCAGCCCTGTTGAACTTTTAGATTTTTCAGCATCCTTTCTTGAGACTGACTATTAGCAGGAAAAGGGCACCTTTACCGGTAACCTACTTTAAGACTCGAAGGCGTTTCGAACCTGGGTTTATAGGACTCTACTACTTGAGGATTTTCGGGGTTCAGCACCAGTTCATGTCAAGGGCAGAGAATTTAGAGGAGGAGTTAGGATCTCCACGTGCGTGCCTGGCATGGGGGCTTTAAAAAAAAATGTGTCGTCCCTTTGGGAACTGGAAGTCACGCACTGCATGCTCGCAAGCTGCGACATGGGGATTTAGGGTTCTACGGCTTCGCCATGCAGGGACGTGTTGAATGGTTTGGGGTCAAGGCTTTGGGGTCGAAGAGCTGGCAGTCCCCTGGTGTAGGGTTTGGGATTCGAACTGTGGAACGTGGGCTAGCCTGAGTTTGAGCATCGCCCCCGAGCCCTCAAGCTAAGCTAAAACTAAATCTTCCCTACTCAACCCTCACACCCAAGCCCTCAACCGAAAACCCTAAACCTAAGCCCTGAATCCTTGACCCCCAGTTCTTGACGAACGGAGGCGCAGAGGCGACCATATCCAGAGGGTTGCGAACCTCACATGCGAAGAAGGATTTAGGGTTCAGGGGTTTTGGGTTTAGGGGGCATTTAGGGCTGCGGGCATAGAACTTTGCACTCATGGCTCTTCAGCGCACGAAGCCTAGGCTTTTGGGGCTCATCTTTGGGTTTTGGCTAAAGCTTGAAGCTTAATGCTGGTGTGCCTCGATTAAATGGGGAGACAATAAAGATATTCCCTGGCCCAGACTTTGCTGCGGAAGAGGAGTTTAGAAGGCGGACCC